CTTACAAAAAAGGACCTCACGATTTAAGAAACTTTGCATTTTCTCGGCAAACCACTGAACCTAATTTAAACTAATTTTAGCATAATTTAACTGTTAAATTGCTCAATATTAAATAATAAGGGAGAAAAAATCGCAGTTTTTTGTGACTCTTCCGTCGCTCCACTTTTGAATCATTAAATCCAGGGCCAAATCGGCTCCCGAGTTAGCTTCAGTGAAAAGTTTCAGACCCATTATCGCATTATCTGTACAAAGTAGCCACCAAGTTTCAAATAATCCAGAAATTCGACTAGACATTCGGCACCTACACAGAACGAAAGCCATTTTTTTTGCTTTTGACAATTGTTTGTATTTGGAATGACCGGAATTATTCAGAGCAATTTTTGTTTGTCCCAACAAAAAACTCGAAAACTCATATTTGATGTGTTACATTCAGCTCCTTTCCAACCGTAATTGTTCCGACTTTTGAACAAGGGATGGAACATTTCGGCTGATTTTTTTCAGTCAGTTTTCTACTCTTTTACTCAGATATTTTGATGGACATTTTCATATCATCTGAGGTTTAAGGTAAAAAGGAGGTCAAAGGTAAACAAAAGTAAAAAAAGAGGTCAAAAGCAAAAATTCCGGAGGTCAAAAGTAAACAAAACTACCAAAAACTTTTCAATTGGCCGTAAAATGCAGCCAGAACTTTCATGGTTTTGCGATGATACACGAGACATCTTGCTTGATAATGTTTCCCTCAGTGTCAGCTATTGAAAACTGGTTTTCCAGCTCAAACTATAAATTTTTGCAGAAACGATTTTTAGAAAAATCAATATTGTATACAAAGCACCCGGTTATTTTTATTGGACAGGTGGATTCTGAAAAACAGTTGGAGAATATTTTTAGAGTTTCATATTTTATATGTGTTGCTTAAATATAATTTCAAATCAAACCGTATAATATGCGGGTTGCATTTAGTCGTCTCCTCCCAGTCACGGTCCTTCGTCATTTTGACACCCTAACTGTCCAAAAAAGAGGGCACCCGTATGATAATGTTATAGGATATCAGTTTTTTCCTGCCGTGGTTTAGAAAATTAGACGACAAGCAAATTAAACGATCAGAAAATAACGAAATTTAGACAATAACTTGCGTGAAATTTGTTTACAGACTTAAATTGAAGTTTGGCTGAGTAAATACTGGTTGTCCGTATATTCCATTTCTTACGGTCGTCTAATTTCTTGTCGTCTACTTTCCTAGGCCCCGTCTTTGTCGGACTACGGTGTTACGCGATACAGTTTTTGCTGACTGCCTCTTTGGCGTTTTTTTCCACAAAAAGTAGAAAA